ATTCAAGGCCAAATTATATTCAATGTTGATTTTTTTTTGCTTTTTTTTTTTTTTTTTTGCATCCACGCATCCCTTGAAAAAATATATAATTATGAAATGATTTGGGTCTCTCGAAAAGCGCGAGATAAATCCAAGTCATCTTCAATATGATTTAATTGATAAATCAGCCTGCCCTCAATTTTTGTTGGCCTATACATGTTTTGAAGTATTTGACATGGGATATATACATATGGCGATAAAAAAAGACGAGAACATTTTAATAGGCAGAAAGAAGACCCGGGAGGGCCTCGCGGGGTCGCCGGACGATAGTAAATCTTCTGACTTTTTATTGAAGCCACATTTATAGAGCGGACACATGGTGCATTGAATGAAAGGTTTCCACAAGGAAGAAGCCCTGCTGCTACTCCCGATGATGATGATGATTTACACTCAGTTAAAAAGGCTAAGATAATCATTAAACCCCTCACATCAATAATGGTTACAAAGCAAGGCGAGGAAGCAGTGGGAGTCTGTGACGTTAATGAACCCTGCAAAGGATGGGAGGAAGCTTCGCATCCTGCTTGCAATGAGCTTTGATTCCATTTGCTAATTAACTAATGATAAAGCCTCTTCCTACGTTTATTTAGTAGGGTTTCATGTCAAAACAATCCCACCCACCCTTTAATAGTTTTAGTAGTTTTTCTTGAGGTCATGTTAGTAATACAATGAATTATATGTATATATTATATAGCGCCTTAAGCGCTATGCTAGCAGAGATGGGAGGTAATTTAATGTTGGGACTGTTCGAAGCGCGATGCTAGCAGAAGGGTCGCTAACCTCTGCCACCAGCTGATAGCTGGCTAGCTTAACAGCCAAAGGGGCATTTTTCATCAAAGTAATGGTCATGGGTTGTCATTGTTGCCACTGACGTCGCTGTCCTAGTAGAAATTGTAATTTCCTGTGCTTCTGGAATTCTAAACTGAAGGTCCTATCAGGGCAGCTCGCGAGGTGGCGCGTTTAAGGATCCTTCTGCCAAAAGGTGAGTCTAATTGAAGTAGAATGTTTGTATTGGAGGTCAATGTAGCATACTCAAAACAGGTGGTAAAAGAGTATGAATAAGGGTTGATGATTAATTGAACCATCCCGTTGGTTCAACAAATGGCACTGCAAGACATCTTCAGGACCAAGGTGTCCATATGAAGTCTTGAGTCACACGCTGAGGCAAGTACATCAATCAGCCCGACTTAAAAAAAACAGAAACATCTGTCAGTCTGTAAAGGCTCAGAGGTGATCAACACGTTTTTTTTCCCCACAGACCGCATTGGGACTCCTTTCCCGACCTTTGGCTCCCAACCTCTTGACCTGAGCTTTGTCCCGCCGTCAGGTGCCATCTTGCTTTCCATGGGCATCGAGATTCCTTCAAGATAGTCCCACCCGAGGGGGGCCGCCTATTGTTCCTGCGGGACAAAGGAAGGAAGACCACCATTGGGATTTGCTGAGTCGTTAACTGAGGCTGAATTTACACTACCAATTGAGATTTAGAGCCATTTACTAAACACCAAAAATGTCCGGCATGAATGTGTACCGAAAAGGCAGGAAACCAATGACACAACAGAAATAATCTGGACTGAGTCTTACGCTCCACAAAACCTTGTTTTGTAACATCTTACCTGAAGAGATCAAAGTTCTCCGTCTTTCCGTTTGGATTCTTCTTCAGGCAAAAACCAACGTTGTCAACCGACTTTGATATGACCGCATCCTCTTCATCTTGTGTCTCGTTGTGTCTTCTTTTCCTCATCCGTCTCTTATTGTAGTTTGTAAGGACGGCATCAGAATTCCAATCCATGGATTGGCAGTGATCCCAAAACAAAAGTCATCTTTGTCAAAGGGGGACGCTGGGTCTTGCTTTCATTTTCACGTGGTACACTTTGTTCTCTGTTGCCTCCGGCCTTGTTCTCTCCCCCCACCTTTCTCCTTGAGCTGGCACTCCTCCCTGGCCACCAGAGTAGTTTATATGAGGGATCAGACATGGAGGAAATAAGTGGCAAAAATTGGGGACTACAGATGTAAAGTTTCTCATTAACTGGCAAAAAAGTACAGACTATATTGTTTGGGCCTCAACTTTGGTTTCTCATCGACACATTTGTTCTGACATCTGGAATTGTGAGTAATATTTTGGGTCAGAAAAATAACCGAGTTGGAGATTGACAGGAAACACATCACACTTTTTTTTTCTCTCCTTCTCATTCTCAGTGGCAACAGAGCGATGGGGAAAATGCGCAGAAACTGAGCCAAGCATGCACCTTTGCTTGTTGACTAAACAGTCGGCAAAAAGAAAGTAACATCCTGCCAAGTTTTGCGGCGGGCGCGTCTTTCAGCCCTCATTCACACCCCAGTCATGTTCCTTCACATTGGGGCTTAATAAACCATGTCACAAAAGGATAAAAACAGAGCCGTGGTTTGATGGGGAAGCAGGTGAAGAAAGCCTGAAGGATACATGGACGATGCAAACACTTAACAGGCGTAATCTATCTGGTCTTTTGTCCGCCGATGAAACACATCAGACCTGAGAGAGGTCTTCCTCTATCAGCAAGGGAGCCGGTTATTGACCCACAGCTCTGGTCATTGACCTGTACCTGGAGGCTGCACTCAGGTGGGTGACAAGGTCAGGAGAGTGGCTGAACTGATGTCGCTTCCTGTCTGTTGATGTGAATGACCATGTGGTATTTTGGGAAAACAATGTCATTTCAGTCACAATGAGTCACCATGAACACTTTAGACTTTAGAGCCACAGTCCCTGACATTTTTCAAGCTGTGGACCGGTTTCGCATTAAAGCAATTGTTTGACAGACCAATATAGAGACAAATGAAAATGTATATAAATAAAAATACAACTCACGATTACGGTGAATGTAGTTCTTGTAACCAATGGAAGCCCTGTCCCGTTTTTGGGCAATGGGAGAGACAGTGACACCCAGAGTGTGTTAATTTCTGATCCGTACTTTTGTTTTGGTTGCCATCATTATAGATAGGTGTTTGTTTGTTTTTACTATTTTATGCCGGTTAGTGGGCTTACTCTTTATTACCGTATTTGACTACTGTACAGAGGTTCAGGCAGATGCAGGTGGTTTTCAAAATTAAACTTCTATCAGAGTCAGTTGAGCAATAAAATATCATTTTTTCTGTCTCTCTGTGTGGCCCAGTGTTTGGGGACCGTTTATTTGGAATACCAAACTAGGGTGGGTGCTAGTTGAGTCAGTTAAGGCTCAGGCTGGAACAATAGCTTCTCACTTCTGAATCCTTCTAAGACCTTGTTTCTATCAAGCGGTCCAGTTCGGTTTGGATAGATAAAACCTGATCAGGGTTAGGGAATAATGATAATTGCACTGGCGACGTAAATAGTGTGACATCATAGCAGCTAAGAATTGAATTTGCTAGTTTGCATCATGTACCAAGTGAGAATTCTCTCCTCCCCCACCAAAAGCAAACTTTATTACTGTACACCAGAAAAAAAAAAGTACAAATTGATTTGGATATTTTGACACACTTTCTGATAACACCAAAAAATATTAAACCACGTAGTGCAGCTTTGAATATTTTATTTATGTCAGCGTAGAGAAGTAGGAATCATTGCCCGTTGACCAATTACGGTCACAAACCGTATTGCGCTCGTTTACACAGACGCGTAAGAACATCTCATGCAGCAAAAGAAGGCACACACAGTTATCGCCGTCCTGACTGTTGATAATTTGTTTTCTATTTATGGCCTACAGGTGTTGTTGAAAAAAACAATGACTATAATTTTGATTTTATTGCTGCTTTAGTAGAACAAAGTGACTATGGTGCGTTACAACAAAATCTGGTTATCTCCTAAATCAAAGACTGCGCTGTATTTCCTTCCGTCTTTTTTTATTTATTTATTTTACTCTGAATGGTACTACAGTAAAACAGATACTGGTGACTCAGACACACATACTATTGAACAATTCGTTATTTCAGTGTCAGCATGTAACCATAACAGCTGCATCATCTCCACAACACGGGAGAATTGGTGAACATGGTGTGATTTATCTAATGGATATCATCTGCCTACGAGCGAGGTTAACAACTGCGTGTGTTTGAGAAAGCGAGGTTCTTTGCTGTCACGCTTTGCGAGCACTCAAGAAGCTGAGCCGAAACTGATTGGTTACCAAAATCAAAAACCCCTTCAACAACAAGGGAATCTTTATGCTTCTCTCTGATGTTAATACATAACATTGGAATTTCACAGTCACATCACCAAGGGGCAAACTCATGATAGCTTGCTGAAAACAAACACATCTCATTGTGATATTTATCGAGTGCATGAAAATTATCAGAATCAGATCCGGATCATCTTTACTTAGGCAAGTATGTCAAAAAATTTCTTCTCCGGTAGTATAATCCACCCAAGTGTTGCAGAAACATATAAACAATAAGAAAAAGAACAGACAGGTATTTTGGGAGTGAATTGTTTTTGACTGAATGAATATTGTCTTCCTGGATCTCTGTCCATACCTTTGTCATAGGTATACCTCACGGCTCAATTCTAGGGCAACTGTAATTTTTTCTTTTATACTATAGTGTGTTTGCGTGTGTCTGCGTGTGTGTACTGTAGGGTTGAAGTTGCAGAGGCATCAAGAAGGTCAGGCAAAGACCTGACAGCAGCCCTCTGCCTCACCTCCCTCTGATCTGATGGCTTGACCTCAGAGCATCTCTCTCCATAGCTGGAGAGATTAAAAGACAAAGAAATGAGCTCAGGATAAATATTTGACTCATAAGACTTACTGTCTTATAAGTCAAATGGTGGGATCTTTGGACACCTTGCCTGTTGTTACAACAAGCAACAAACAGAAATCCGATGTGTCCGGTCTCATCTCAGCTTCCTGTGTATCCTCAAAATATAGCGAGGAGGTTGGCATGGAGATGGCTTGGAATGAGAACCAGATATCCTCTTTCATTACTTCACAAACGACCCAGTTGGTGTTAAAGATTCCCTCTTTGTTATTTACATTACCTTCTTTATTATTTACAGATCGGTGGCGCCGCCTGCTGTTTAAATTTAGGTGGGGCAGTGAAACCACTCTTCAAACAAAACGGAAGACTTTGCCGCCAAAAGAGAGAATTTTTTAGCGCACGCCCACACCGTTGCGGAACAGGAAGTGACGAAATTAAAATGGCGTCCTCCGTGACCCGGCTCCCTACGCGCTGTTTCGTCACGTCACTAATTTCCAAACTCTGCCGCGCTCATATTCATTTTGTATTAGCCAGAAATTTGTGTTTTTCGGCCACGGCCTTGGTCGCACACCGGGGATGTTTGACGGCTCACCCGAGCTCGCGGAGCCACAAAAATGCGGCGACATTGAGCCGACTGACAGGTGAGTCCGCTTAATGTTAGCAAAACATATTCAGTGCTTGCCAAACCAGTCATGTAAAGTGTTTAAAACAGGCTTTAGGATGTGATAAATGGAACAGATTAAAACGGCCTGCCACCAGTAAGTCACATCTGTTTATGCCTGATGTAATGGTTTACCAGTTTACTTACGTAGTCGTATTCACTGTCATGGCTGCATTAATTTGGCAGTTTATGAGCACCGGACTAAATTAACATTTAGTCATAACATTTACATGTACAATAGCGCACATTTGGTAGTATTTGTTGGTATCAGTCGTGCGGTTACCTGTTGGCACCAACTGTCAGTCGTAGAAAAAGGAATATTTGAGGTGCGCATGTTCTCTTCGTAAATTCCTCTAACAACCCAGGTTAAACTTGTCTCTTCATCGACCTTAAAAAAACTTCTCTCAGTCGAGGTGTGTTTCTTCAACATACTTCCAAGTTCCTTGACACCAACTCCTATTGAGACACGGCTTTTGAGGCAACTCGTGGCAATTTAGACCTTTTCAGAAAGAGGGCAAAAACTGCGAAAGGTGAGTTTTTAATTGGATAGCAGGAGATGGCTCCCATAGGGAAAAAAACCGCAAATGTGTCAACTTGTAAATCGTGAACCGCAATTTTATGCCTTCAATTGTATACCAAAGATCAGTACACCCAAGGTGACAAGTGCAATTGTGTTGTCCCCTCTGCAGCCTTGCGATATCCTCACGTTATCCCAGACCGATGCTTCCGCAGCAGCACGAAATGTGCGAACAAGCAAGACTTGTACGAAGTGCTGGGTGTCGCCCGCACTGCCTCACAAAGGGACATCAAAAAGGCATACTACCAGGTATGACGACCGCCGTTGTTGTTCACCTCATTAAACCATGGTAAATTCCTCACAGAAGTATGCCAAACAGTCTAATCTGAGTTCCTTTTGTTTACAGTTGGCAAAGAAGTACCATCCAGACACCAACCCAGACGACCCGGAGGCCAAAGAGAAGTTTGCTAAACTGGCTGAAGCCTACGAGGTAGCCACTGGTAACATACACGCACCGACTTTTACATCGCCCCTTCTCGCAGATGGAAATAAAGCATCAGGGAGAGGCGCACGAAATTCATGGAGCTGCACAATCATTGAACTGAAGCATGAAATAACGCACTTTAATTCTTTTTTTCCTTTAAAGAATTATGTTGTTACTTTATGTTTTTATAAAGTACACTGTTGTGTGCTGTTATCTGTCAAGTAACAAAGCCACTATTGAATTTCATTCGATTATGCAGGCTTACCCGTTGTTATTTCCCACATCCTTGCTGCATTACAGGTGTTGAGCGATGAGGTGAAGAGGAAGCAGTACGACACGTATGGCTCGGCCGGCTTCGATGCCAGCCGGGCGGGCCAGCAGCAATACTACAGAGCCGGCAGCGCCAATGTGGACCCCGAGGAGCTCTTCAGGAAGATATTCGGGGATTTCGCCGGTGGCTTCCAAGACATCAACAGCATGTTTGAGCAACGGCCGGAGGTGAGAGAAAACAAGGCCGCTTCACAGCTAATTGGTGATTGATGTAAAAAGGTTCAATATGACAAAAATGGCGAATTGGTATAATGTAATCATCGAAAATTACTGCACTATTATTTGTTTTTCTTTTAAGTAAATTTAGCCTACTTTTGCTAAAAGAGAAAATATGGACTAGTGATAGTGCCTTGAATAATATCGGCTTCTTTCATTCATGTTATGGGTATTTTTATACAAAGGAAATTTTTTTGTGCCTGTTGAAAATTAAAGTTTACTGACATAGCCATAAAAAAATGTTGCTTTATTTATCTGACCGTATTGGAATGTATTTGTTAGGTTTTCAGTCAATTAAATTTGGTTCAATAAACAATATGTGGTCATTTTTAAAATTTTCAATGAACATTCGATCAGTCCGGCCCTCGGCTTGCAGCAAAAATTTTTATCTGGCCCTCCGTCCATTTGACTTTGACACCCCTGGTCTAATCTGAGTTCCTTTTGTTTACAGTTGGCAAAGAAGTACCATCCAGACACCAACCCAGACGACCCGGAGGCCAAAGAGAAGTTTGCTAAACTGGCTGAAGCCTACGAGGTAGCCACTGGTAACATACACGCACCGACTTTTACATCGCCCCTTCTTGCAGATGGAAATAAAGCATCAGGGAGAGGCGCACGAAATTCATGGAGCTGCACAATCATTGAACTGAAGCATGAAATAACGCACTTTAATTCTTTTTTTCCTTTAAAGAATTATGTTGTTACTTTATGTTTTTATAAAGTACACTGTTGTGTGCTGTTATCTGTCAAGTAACAAAGCCACTATTGAATTTCATTCGATTATGCAGGCTTACCCGTTGTTATTTCCCACATCCTTGCTGCATTACAGGTGTTGAGCGATGAGGTGAAGAGGAAGCAGTACGACACGTATGGCTCGGCCGGCTTCGATGCCAGCCGGGCGGGCCAGCAGCAATACTACAGAGCCGGCAGCGCCAATGTGGACCCCGAGGAGCTCTTCAGGAAGATATTCGGGGATTTCGCCGGTGGCTTCCAAGACATCAACAGCATGTTTGAGCAACGGCCGGAGGTGAGAGAAAACAAGGCCGCTTCACAGCTAATTGGTGATTGATGTCAAAAGGTTCAATATGACAAAAATGGCGAATTGGTATAATGTAATCAATTCCACTTTTTATTTTGAGTCACGTCGTTTTCTTTTTGTATACCTGAAGAGGAAAAAAAATATTTGAAATTAGAGATCGTATTTTTATGTTTTAGTGTAAAATCTACAACAGACGACCACTTGGCACTTGACGCATTTCTCCTGTACGTCAATAGTTTGTGATGGAGCTGACATTTGCCGAGGCGGCGAAGGGCGTGGACAAGCAGCTGTCAGTCAACGTCGAGGACGCCTGCCCAAGGTGCAATGGCAGGGGCAGCGAGCCGGGCACCAAAGTGTCGCACTGCCACTACTGCAATGGCACTGGCATGGTGGGTCACACCTTTCTCCCCAATTTCTTATTGAAGTCGTTCATGCCTGCGTTTTCCTTTCCACAGGAATCGCTGCACACGGGCCCTTTCATGATGCGAAGCGCGTGTCGACGCTGTGGCGGCAAGGGCTCCATCGTAACCACGCCCTGCGCTCTTTGCCGAGGTTCGGGTCAGACCAAGAAGAGGCAGACGATCACGGTGCCGGTTCCGGCCGGTAGGTGTCCATTCTGAAATATCACAGGAAGATGACGGGATCTCATCATTTTTCTGTGCGGTGTCCCTGCATCATACTGAGTTGTGTGTGTCACGTTTTGTTCCACCGTAATGAAGACCTGATTTGCATCGCGTGATTCAAGTGACGCACACCGTGAATCAAATCAATCAGAAGCGAATGAGAGAAAATTTTTAAAATTTGTGGGGGTAGTGGTGCAGATGTATGGAAAATGAAGTGGCTCTTGACCACAACTGCAGATTGGGAGAGAGGTTGCATTTTTGATGTGATATAATAAAAAAATGTCATGACTATTTGACAGTATTGTCAAGTGGGTACTGAAATGCGGAAAAGTGAGAAAGTGAACCAGGTTGATGTCACATGTCCGTCGTCCTTAACGCTGGAAAAAAGACGCCATCTTCACATGATGTCGAATCATCTTTAATTCTTGCTGTTTAATACTGCTGTTTTGGTTAGCCAGAGACTTGAAAAGAGCTTTCCAGTTCACTTTTTAATGTTCATGTGTGAACAATAACATCTGAATTAATGTAATTAGACGCACATTTTTTTGTTTTTGTCATGGGGGAGGGGGGGTAGATGTCGAATTCTGAAGTGACCAGACACTTTACAAAATAATTGCCTAGTCGGGATGCACTGTCCATGATGAGCACCATTTCACGTTTTGGATCTCACATTGTGCTGTGAAGCCCACTATTGTGTCCTTGTGAGTGAATATGGCAATCATCTACAGGGGTTGAACACGGTCAGACCGTGCGGATGTCAGTCGGCCAGAAGGAAATTCTCATTACGTTTCGGGTGAGTCTTATCAATTCAGCATAATGCTGAATGTCTTTTCCCTTGTCCCTTATTGTTTATGTATTCCCAAATGGGCCCACACAGGTCCAGGGGAGCCCCGTGTTCAGGCGCAACGGGATCGACATCCACTCGGACGTGCTGATCTCTGTGGCGCAAGCCATCCTGGGTGGCACCGCCACCGCGCAAGGCCTCTACGAAACCATCAGCATTGTGGTGAGATGGTTAGAAAGCCCGGATTGTTGCACGCGCCCCTAAAATTTGCGACTGCGACATTTAATCCAAGCAAATTTGCTCGTCGCGCCCTTTGCAGATTCCCGCCGGCTGTCAAACGGATCAAGTGATTCGGCTGCAGGGGAAAGGCATTCGCAGGCTGAACAGCTTCGGCTACGGTGATCACTACGTGCACATCAAGATCAGCGTGCCCAAGTAAGAGACTTGAACGAGACAGCAAGTGTGCGCAGCTGATCTGTGCATCCAACTCAACTCGGTGTAGCTCGCCTTACCTTTTGGCTTTGTATTTCAGAACTTGGGTATGGCTTGAAAATGGCTCGGGCTCTTCGACTAGCTGCCAAGTCAAACTGTGTTAGGACTGGATTGTGTAAATTGCAGGAATTACGATGACCCAAATTCTAAGATTCAGAATGGCTGGTTCACAGATTTTCAGGAAAAAAAATCTTCGTTTAATTTCACACTTGATGGGTTGGGCAGGCAATCCAAAGATCAAACAATTTGCATACAAGCCACTAAAAAGTTAATTTTTTTTGTCATGCGTTGCATTTTTAACCTTCCACTGCAAGTCTCTTCGTGCATGTCATTCATTTTTGGTTGTCTCTGCAGGAAGTTGACGCGGAGGCAGCGATCTCTTCTACTCAGCTACGCCGAGGAGGAGATAGATGTTCCTGGGACCGTTAATGGTGTCAGTCTGTCTCCAGGTAAGTATTGCACCATGGAGAAAACAAACAAAAAAAAACATGATGCGTTATTCTAATTTAAATTGTGCACTACAACACAGTTTGGTGTAAATTTGACAATTTAATTGAGGTACACTGATATTGACTTTCCAAATCCGAACTGATTTCGAAGATGTTATATGATCGTAACTATTGAACAGCTTGAACATTTGTGAAAATCAGCCCCGAAGTGTTTTTTGAGCAGGTTGGAGAGTAAAATAACAAATCGATCTAAACACAACTACAAGACAGGATAATCATTTTGGATAATATTTTGCGATACGAGACAACTGGGCCTTTGCACACTTTAATCGGACTTAAATTAGACTTGTTTTTACCTTTTTGCTTTTCTCAGTCGAGAACAGCTACATTTCAGTTCAGCTTGCTAATGAAAGGAAAGATTTATTGTTTAGTTGACGAGCAATGTAATGAATCATTAATTGTAATAATTATAGAAACCTACGAATATTTTAGGATTTGAAAAAGTGACAAAATATTGAGTCACTTATATTGTGATTTCCGATTGCCGATTAAAAAATGGAAGGAAGCAATGATACAAGGAATTAAGACTGCCCACCTTTAGTAGACGTACAGTTCATGTAAAGTAATGGAGTTGACGCTTTGCTTTCAGCAGGGGGCGGCAGAGCGTCAGGTTCTAGTGAGAGGGCCAGCAGTTCAGCAGAAGCAGTGGACAAACAGAAGAAGAAGGAGGAAGAAGAGAAGGAGGAGGGAGGCTTTTTTTCAAAACTCAAGAAAATGTTTAGCTGAAATGAAGACCACAAGGTGGGCATTTCACCCTCATGTAAAGTCTCATGTTTTTTTCAGTAGCACTTGTCCTCGGGAGTGAGTGAGCGTGAGCTGGACCATGATACATTTTTTTCCCATCTCGTAAACAACCAATTCACACTGGCACGATTTAGAAGTCGCAATGAACCTAATGCGCATGTTGTTAAAATGTGGGTAGAAACTGAACCCGGAGAAAACCTACACCAACACGGGAAGAGCTGCCGGAGCTGTGCTGCCTTCACATACGAGGATCAAATTGATAGAAGCCACCTTAGCGTGAGCTGGATCTTTAAAAGCTCGCTGTCAAACTGTTTTTCAACAAAAGGTCAATATGGCAAAAGAAGAAAAATTCTCAGACACGAATTTTTTTTTTTCCCTGCTATTTACTACTTTTCAAAAAAAAAAAAAAAAACATTTGTCTTCAAAAGTACAGCTTTTTCTCCAAAAGTTTTTTCTTTCACTTTTTGGATCTTTTATCAATTAGTTTTTCTTGACATTTTCATCTTTTTCTTTAAAAAAAAGAAAAATCCATCAGATGACTATTTTCTCAATCAAATGACTTTTGGGATTTTTTTTTCTTTTCTTTTTCTAAGACAATGAAGGTCAACGTGGAAAAAGAAGAGGACGAATCCGGAAGGAGTCACCTTTGCATGGGGCCAGTTGCAAACGTTGCACGCAGCAAACAGGCCAGAAAAACATGGCAACGCCTCCGCAAAGTGGCAAAGGACGATGGTAATTAGCGTAAAGGCTTGTATGTCTCTAAGAAACTTGTAGCGGCGGCTTAAAAATATATTTAAATAAATTCCACAAGCTTTCATTCATTGTCGCTGGTGTTTGACGACAACCGGGGGCGTCATCACTCGCCGTGTGGTTTTGAAGCCCGGCAGGGTGACTCCAAAGGCAAATTGAAGTTAGACGCCGGCTGTCCCCTTTCTCTGCTTTTTTGGGACCACAGAAAACGTTCTGTTCTCAGCGTGCGGTTTCCATGCGACAACTGTAAACGTCCTGACTCAAGCTGACCGAGCCGCCCACACTCCACGAGGTGGTTCTGTGTGACGAGTAATTGATGGAATCCTTTTTGCTATTTACGTCTGCGCCATGGTTAGCCACAAAAAAAATGCTCAGCGTCCATATTGGACTGATCGCTGAAGTATTTCAAGTTACGCTGATCTCATTCGGAGTCGAAAAATGTCCTACGGCGAGCTGGAGCCAACACTGGTTTGCCGGTCAAGCAAACATTGATTTGGCTTTGTTCTATTAAGACATGCCATCATGCTACAAGCAGTTGTTTTGCACGGGCAGACGCAATAAGAAAATGATGACTTTTGGGGCTTTGTTTCCCCGTAAAAAAGTCAACCTTGATTGAGTTCTAAGTTGTAAGGTTTTGTTTTTGTTTTTTTCCGAAATTCACTTTTCAAAGCTCGGAATACAGCAAAATTAAATTTCCAAGAAGAATAGAAGGCTCCCATGGGAATTCAGCAAACTTCACGGCCATGGCTTGCTCCTCCTCCTCCTCCTCATGTGGGCCTCGGTGGCATCGTAAATTTTCTTTAGTCTGAGGCTGTCACACTCCTAAATCACTCTTGTGTAATTATGGAGCGACGGTTGAGTCTCTGTGTTGTTTCTTCCTCGGCCCGTGGCTGGAAAAAATTGCCGAGCTTGCAGACGGAAATGTTCCTTGTGATTTAGTATTCATTTTAGGGGTCCCAGCATCACAGAACAAAAGTTTCACTGATCAACATGAAATGAGTTGGTGATGCCTGTCATAACGGGACCACAAAAAAAGACTTGAGGAACTGTGCACAAAATTAAACGGTCTGCCATTTTGTACAAATTCCAGGACTCCTCTACGCTATTCGTTCAAATGGTCCCCAATTGGAAACAGGTTATGGACATTTAGTGTTTACCAACCTTTATTGGGCCAAGCCACTTACAACCCACATGCCAACAAACATATCAAAATATTGAAACAACACTCATTGTGAAATCTTCCCCAGTTTAGTTGAAGGCAAAGCTATTCTGTTGAATGGATAGCCTGACCAATATGAATTATTTGAGGCTGATGCAGATTCCGATATTTGGCAGTATAAAATTCCAACAACCAACGAATCGTCCGATCAATTAAAAAAAAAGTACAATGAATGAAATAACTTTTCGGTCCCTAAATGCTGACGATAAAAAGGATGACTTAAGGGCAGAACGTTTGACTGTTTTACTTTTGGGGGGGGGGGGGCATCAGGGGGCAGGGAAGAGCATTTTATCTGTTCTCCCTCTCACTGTACGTCACTGCCATTAATTGGTGACCGAAGGAACGACATTCCTCTGTTGGTCTTTATAAACAAACACATACAAAAATTGTTTAATAGAATGTTTAAAAAAAATCGTGATTTTGTGCATTCAATAAAATATCACCATGGTCACTATAGTACACGTCAAAGTTTATGTACACACTATCACACCCGCACAGTAAACTGTAGTAATGGTATTGCTGCAGAGGATAAAGAATGTATGCCTGAGTATTGTTGCATTGTCAGTCTTAATATGTTGCGATACTAGTTCCTTTAGCACTCAATGGAGTTTTGCATTGTTGTTAGCATTAAGCTAGCAGACTTTTGTCATGTAGTGGTCGCTTACGGATTCAAAGTTAAATACATTTCATTTTCCGGTCAATAAACGGCTTGAACCAAGCACTTTACCTCTGGTCACTTAGAAATCTCGGGAACAAGTTGAACATTCTGAACAAAAGTCACTTTAGTGTGGTCTCACGGCCATGCAACAAGCTCAACATAGGTGGCAATGAAGAAACTAGGAAATTAGCAGTTCAGTCCCCCTCCATCTGCACTGCAGTATAATTCAAACAAAAGATTTTTTTTTTAAGCTGCTTTTACAAAGATAATACTCAGTCTTCATCAACTCTGTCAGAGCGGTATTTAGTGAACAATGTGTTCATTGCCCTGGGTTGCGACGGTGGTGTAGAAGCATTCACTTGCTGTGTAATTACAGGCAAAAAAAGTCAAATCTCGAGTGTGACCGTCCCGCAGCGTTGTCGTCCAGCTCATTAAAACGCAAACCCCTTCACTTTGGTTCCTTTCATAGAGTTCAGGCGCCACCCCAAACCAAAGTGAGAAATCAAAAGCTTAAAAAAAACAAAAAAAAAGTCACAGCAGATTCAAATTTGCCATGTGAAACACAGAGTGGGAACACACAGACGACAGCGACTTGAATGGTGATTAGAGAGCAAAGTCAATAAAAGCCGATTGAATGCTACGCGTCAAGACTTCCTCAAAGCGTTTCACCTCTTCCGAGTCACAAAGCCAGACGCCCCTTGTCTGGTCTCGTGCTTTTACAAACATATGAAAAGTGGCTGTGTGTCAATCACACGTGACTGACAGCTGGTTGCTGGGAGTAACTGGGAAACGCAGGAAGGAGTTTGCCGTCCGCATTGTCGGTCGGCCTCCGGCAGGGCAGCAACAAAAGCCCCCGAGGAACAGCTAGTCGCGGCTAATTGGACGCGTACAGGTGGTTCCTAATAATACGTCCTCAAAGTAAGCACGTCATCAAATGTGTTCGGAAAGTGTGAAATGCACAAAATTGTTGCTTTTTAGTTGACAAATCAGTGAATGAAGTCCAGAAATGGTGGGAGCCGTCATCTTCTTGACCAGGAGTCTCCCATGGGAAAATTGTTTTTGCCTTATGTGGTCATTGTTCATCTCCTGTACAATTGCAGCAGCATTGTTAGTTCCTTTATTTTTGTTTTGGGGGTTTCAGATCAAAGGATGATGACATGTAATATTTGGTGGCCATAACCCGTAGTTGCAATATGTGCTTCAAGCCGATGAACCCCGTTGACCGAACTTCATTTGAAATGCCTTGACTGCAGCCTCCTTCAGTGTGCGTTTTAGCTCACAAGCAGATCTTTTCTTTGTCCATACTTTAACTTTTCCATCACTGGTAGAAGTTAATCTTAGTGTCATCAGTCCATAAAAATTTGTTCCAAAACTTTTTTTTTTTTTTTTTTTTGCTTCGTCTCTGTACTGCAAAATTTAACCTGGCCTTCTTCTGAGTGATTTGCATCTTGTGGTATGTCCTGTATATTTCTCTTCTCGCCTTCCAACAGCGGCTCGCGATACCTTCAGCCCTACCCCGTGGAGTTTGTTGCTGCCTCTTATCTTTTGGGTGTCGTAGCGGATGTCACGTCACATCTAAAAATCCCAACCCCGTTACGCTCGGAGGACAAAAAGTCGGCTGTTGTGAGGGCAAACAGCTACTTAAACATAACCAAGCATGAGCTCATCCCAGAGTGCGTGTTTGTTATATGTCAGTGTGTCTAAAGGAGGGTGGGAGGCCCAGAACCGATTTATAAAAGCCCATATGGAAAGCATTAAGTAATCTCGTAATCTGATATTCAATCTGGGGTCTGATTTTGAGGCGGGAACGTCTCCTTGACCCCTTTATATGGTCTTAAAATATATATACACACACACTGCGCAGATGCATATGGCAATGATCTGGCGGGCCAATTAGCCGAGGCTGCGGGGGTGTAAGGGCACGCAGGCTGAAAGTGGAAGCGACGTCGCCGTGATTGAGGAAAAATGGGAAACAGGCAGGAACCAACGTCACCCTTTGGCCTCCCATACACAAACGCAATGCTGTTTACTACAGCAGTAAAAATCTCTCACATCCACCGACTCTGTCATTATGCCTTCCAGCATTGCCATATCCCAAAAAAAGAGTGTCTTCGGAAGCTGTTATTATGCAAAGCATCACTGTCGATTTCTTACTCTTGGAACTTTTTACTTGTGGAATCACCCAAAAACGTTGAGTTTTTTGTTTTTCTTATCTTTGAATTTTTGTGATGTCACAGAGTGATGATAACCGCACAACAGGAAATGGGACTTTTTGTTTTATTTCCCACCTGTCACGAGCTAGCCATTTACTGGCTATCTGGCTTTGCGTGTTTATTTATTTATTTATTTGGGGGTGGGGGTATGAGCTAAGATGACTTAATTTAGGCAACCATCAACTCATAAACCACACGACTTCCACATATTGCCAGCTGTTTTGGACATTTTTGTGGTATCTTTGAAAGACTCACAGGAGATTGTGTTCTCTGACAATGTAACCAGATAATCCAGCAGAAAACAAACAAACAAACGTCTTGTTAGCTTTTTCCATTCTTTTGTAACCAAGGGTAGAACATTCTGTAGGTTGGTTTCACCAAAAACACTTGTTTCCAACCCAAAAGTGGAGAAAACCTCAAAATCTCCCCCCCCCCCCCAAATCTCAGTCTCAATCATCTCAAGTCGAAGGGTGACTTTGATGCTATTTTTTTGCTTTTGTGACACCTCATACTGTAACGGAACTAAAACAAGCAAAGGGCGTTCGATGGCAAAATGCTCATTTATTTGCAGTCAGAAAACATGCCAAAATGAGCGCTGACTCAATTTTCTTTCATATTAATTCATGGTTGATTTCCTTTTGTTTAGCCTAAAACTAAAACATGTATATAAATCTGATATAATTTATTGCTATGCAGCTGAATTTATTGCTTGTGAAGACGACCTTGAAAAAAAATGCATATTGATTTGCAATCGCAGTATTCAGGAAGAAGAATCCCATTTGGATTACTTTTCAAAATGGTTGAGCTCAAGTTCAAATGTTATTCAGCGTTGCGTTAAATGCACATGTACACAAGCAGCAAACTGCATTGGACATTCTCATCATTAAGTTTCAGAACATTTCTCCTGCTGTGTGTGTCCGGCCCCCCCTTGTGTTAGTCTACTCTGGTGATTTTTGTTGGCCTCATGGCTAACAACTGCCCTTATAAATCACATCCAGCCGCCAAGACAGCGTGAAGAATGATTACAGAGTCCAAACACTACTCGGAAATTATGCAGTCATTATTTGTCATTTATAATTATAATTTGGGGTGTGTGCCATACCCAAAATGTTCAAATTTTAGCCCGACCACTTGAGCTTAGATTGTCACCGTTGTCCTCAAAACAGCTTTGACGTTCGCCTGGAGACACGGATCAGATCATATAATGTAAGCCGGATAAAAATGTCAACAATGTGCCACAAAAAAAAAAAACTGTTGGCTGGGGTCAACGTCTTTGATTTCTTTGCTTTTAGTAAGCCAAAAATGTGCTGCTCTGCGTCGGCTCAGTAATGTAACCCAACCCTGCCTGATTGCTCCCATGATGCAGGAGTGGTTCTGGCTTGCTCTCACTGCTGTGATTTTTGTTTTTCCCATCCCCCTGAATGTTTAACCGTTGTTTCACCAGGAAAGTCAATTAAGGTCTAATTATATATAATGACAGTAGGGCATGAAGCAAAATTACAGGAGGGAAACTGGCAAATGTGACAAAAGCAGTGAAAAGGCGGGGGGGGGGGGGACAAAGCAGATGTTTGCCTGAAGAGAAGTAAAAGCACCAACTTTACAACTAAAAGTCTCAAAACAAGTTGACTTTTTGTCAATTAAAACCAAAATCAAGTAAAACTGCGCCACGTGTTGTTAACGCCAAAATTCCAAAATCGAGCACAATCAATCCACCACGTCCAGCTGAGCCATCATGGTGGGAGCTAGCTAGCTGGCTAGCTAGCCAGCTAGCTTATTGGCACGAAAAGAATCGCGTGGTCCCAGCAAACTGAGAGCTCGCCGCACCAAAACCCGTGAAAGACTACTCAGGTACCACCTTTTAATGGAATGTGACAACTCTGGTAAAGCTGAAGTGAAACACGCTTGTAAAGGCTGATCGAGATGTGATGATGGTATGATTTGTAAGTGACTAAGTTGATAGGTTTTGTTTGATTTTTGAGGCCGATATTTCGCGACCATTTTGGTGCGTGCTGAGGTTAAGAGGGTCCTGCTTTCTGTCTCAGGCCCACGTCACTTTTACACTCGCCTTCATCTCTCAACGTTTGTTTGGACGATGTGGTGACAGCGCGGCGTAAACACACGAGGGAGGCTCTGTTGTCAGCGTTAATCTTACTGCAGACCGTCTTTCATAACAGCGTCGCGCGCACCGTGTCGATGTCGCGCCAGACGTCACTAAATGGCCGTGTTTTGCGTTTTCCTTTGGCGAACTCGGCTTCGCGGAACACCTTTTTTTTTTGTCATTTGGAATAAAATCGGGATGGGTGGTTATTTGCGTTGAGGAGAGAATGAAACGTGTTGCGTGCGGGACGCAGAACGAGAGGTGGGGGGGATTGATTCTCCTCTTTTGTTGAAACAGCTGCAGGCGTGCTGAGAAGAGAGAGAACTGCGCTAGAAGAGTTGCTTATCATGGAAAGCGCGCGCGCGCACACACACACACATACACGCGGGCGCGCGCACACACACACATACACACGCGCGCGCGTGCTGTGTATACAACATTGCTTTTGACGCGCCAACTCGAAAGCACACACAAGCACGCGCGCGCGCACACACACTCGGTGCTGTGTATACAACATTGCTTTTGACGCGCCAACTCGAAAGTGGTGTTCAATGTGCACGAGTCACTCCAGTCCAGTGGTTGTGAAGTTAAATAGATTTTTTGGGATTATATCTTTATTTGTTTTTAATAATAATAATAACTAACAAACAGAATTTCAAAAATGAGTCACAATGAAAGGATAAACTACAGTCACTCAAATCTAAAATCGCAAACTTACAACCCTGTTTAGGAGAGATGAGAACTACCGT